CTTGTTAAGAGCTTAAATATCCTCGATCACACAGGGCGTACCTCTAGCTGTTCTTTATTGAATAATTTTCACTAGAAGTACTAAGTGTTCATGACCACATGCCTAATTTGTAGATAGACATAATAACGTAAGTCACGTTAATACATTGGCTAATATAAATAAAGTTCCATCTGAAGAAAAGTTATATATGAAAAAGACTTATTGGATTTTGGAGATTGGCGGGAAGACCAAAACCTGTAAGTAGTAGTTCAGAGATTATAAAAATTTAATTTATAATATCCTACATCTACTAATGTATCAAATAGGTCCAAGTAAATGTTTTATGCCAAATACTCAGGCTATTGGAGCCATCAAAGTGAATTTAGAACATTTTGGAAATATTGGAAAAAAAACTTGTTTTAAATTATTTTAAATTCAAATAGAAACCAATGTGTTATTCCATTTGATCTTGATATTTTAGACTGACCGGAGGCCGTATTACTACACGAACGCCGTAAATATATATATATATAGTCACATATTGCTTGACAATTGACACCTAGTGCTGTTACAGTGCCATCTTATGGTCAAGAAAAAAGTCGTTGGCGACATGCACACTGCTTTTCACTAGGAAACTTTGTTTTGACGAATAACCCATCCGTTGCACCCACACAATGAGTCATGATTCCGTGTGTTGATATCGCAAGCCTTCAGCTATTGTACGAAATTCGACTTCCGTTTTAGGGAACGCAAATTGCAAAGCCTTGACAACTGTGACTTGATTAATAGCTCTTATGACTCTACGTATTGTATCATACATGGTACTTGCGTGTGTGATATACACACACTTTAAATCGGTGACCTGTCCGCCTGATAAGAATCACAGAGTAGTACGTTCACTTCTATACACCCGTTTCTTAGATTTGCCATATACTTATCTCTTTGATATATTGGGTTGATAGCTTGCTTTAGCAGTAAGAACTGGCCAAATGACATCCGCAAGTCTCTACGGAACGTGTCCATTTCCAACATGTGTCCTGCTACTTCGTCGAATGAAACTCTGTATCTGTACACTAGTGCTCGTCTTGATATTAATTTAGCTGTTACCATTAGTGGCGTATTATAAGCTAGTATAGACAATACTGTTATTGATATGATCATTGGCGTGGTCTTTTGCTGTGGTAACATATCGCTGCTACTGTCATCAGACGATTCATGGTCGCTTTGATCGCTATAGTTAGTGCGTGATATACTAGGTTCTACAGCATTTACTGCCTCCCAGTAGGCATCACTGAGTGTATTGATACTTCCATCACTAATCGCTTTCGCCAATCTTTGAAACTCTTCCGTTGTATTAGTTCAAAACAATGGCATGCATCATTCACCGTTGCATTAGATGCATCTAATTCGCTACGCACATCTGCCTCCTGCAGAAAGGCATACCTGCTCGCCTCTACATCGTCGTCTTTCTCGTCGTCGTCGCTGGCATTTCTACCACCGTCATCGTCGTTCGCCATAACTTCCGCCACCACACTATTTGTTATTCATATACTAACAATATATAGCACCTAAAGAGGTGTCAATAACCCATACTATACCTAAAACTCACACACTATATACATGTGTTTATCATATTTCAAAAAATATTTTTGTATACGCACATAATTACGGAGTAAGCCAAATTTTCTGCTCCAGACTGCAAAATTTACGGGAACTACTTTGGTGCAAAATACCCTATTTTTTTATTTTGGGTCAGCTGCCAAGCCATCGTGCCGAGTATGGACCTATTATGCCCTATTATATTTTACTATTACGAAAAAAATTTAATACCGTTAAGACTCGCCCTGAAGTGTGAACCTCAAGTCCTAATATGTTATTTAAAAAAAGGGGTCCAATATATAAGTTGAACATAAACACATATTTTTCGATACATAATGTACAAACGCTTATGTAGGTCAAAAGAGCGAGAAATAATCGACCCTTTATGCGAATTTGACAGACAACTTACTATAAAACTTTGAACCTCGGCGCTCCGAACATGTACCCGTATGAACAACCATAGGGCAAGCCTTGATGTAAACGTTTATCTCAAACGTATAAGTTTAAAAAAAATACGTTTTATTTCTTTCCGAGGTTATGTAAAATAATATTTTTAGCTTTTGACTCTTTGAATTTCGAAGTTCAGACTCTTCAGAGTTAAGCAAATAGACTTCCTTCAATCTCTTGCAAATCAGTATTAAAAATAAATAAATAAATAAATAAATACAGTGGTGGTGTTTTGATGAAAGGATCTACTACATAGCTGCCTCAGTAAATTGAATATTAATAAAAAAAAGTATAGTAACCAGACACTGGGGATATAGAGTTGCGATATATCTGAGTGTTCTGAGAGATCAAAGTTAATAGCCATCTACGTACATCTTGTGTGCTGTATTATAGTTACACGGACCTGGACTTGTACTGATAGACTAAACTACTGAATTGTATAATCAAACCCAGTATATTTGAAGACACACATACAATCATATCACCTTGTATGCATAGATACATGTGCCTGTGAATTATCGGTTGGATATAAAGCATCACGACTTCATAGGGCGATAGAACAGCATGTCCTCAGCACCACAACCAGAATAAGACTACCAACAGCACCATGGCAGATCAACCAAAGTAAGCACAATAGCAGTACAATATCAATATTCGGCCAACTTACCAATATGGAACTTCGTGATTTTGATTATTATTCCTTTACGTGTAAACGAACGGTATATAATACACAAAACAACATGATAGCATTTCTGCATGTTTAGGCTGTACAGATGTACACATACATACACAACCACACCCCACTCACCCACCCACCATACGGGCAAACACACACACACACTCACACACGCGTACACATACACACGTACACACACACAAACTATATATAAATATATATATATATATATATATATATACCTTTATATCTATATAGTATATATACACATATACATATGCATATACAC